ATTTTATTGCGTGGGATCTCATAGGTTAACCTCCTCTCTTAGACGAATAGAGAAGACCTTGTCTTTACCTCAATAAGTGATGAATAAAAAAGAAAAACGAAGGTGAAATCGCCACCGACAACAACCATACAACAAACAAACAAACAAACAAACCCATTGCCTATTGTTGTTTATTTAACCGATTGTCTCATACGAAAACAATTGTTTAAAAAAATTTATTTATTTATTAGTTATGATCTCATTAAAACTTTGAAAAAAAAAATTTTTTTGAAAGTGATAATAATAATAATAATAATAATAATAATAATGATAAAAATAATAAATTAATAATAATAATAATAATAGTGATAATCAAGTCGTTTAAGAAATTTTAACGAAAATTTAAATTTTTTTTTCCTACCTGAGGTGATTGTTATTATTATTCTATGATACTTTGCCATTTAACGATTTTTCAACAACCGGAAGTTACGTGTCATTAGTGTGCGAGTGAGAAAGAAATACAATTTTTTTTTGTTTTTGTTTTCATTCATTAAAATCGAACGAGATCGATATTAAAATTTATTGATTTTTTTTCCCCCAAATATCGGTTCGATATAAAAAAAAATTTATTTACATTATTTTTAAAATAATCATAATATCAATAATTGATAACGTCTTATCACACGTCAACCCCACGTCAAAAAAAAAAATTCTTCTTATTAATAATAATAATAATAATGATGATGATGATGATGATTTAAAAATTTATTTTGTTTATTTATTTATTTTTTTTTTAAATTTAAAAGTAAAACTAATAAAAAAAAAAAAGTTTCAAAGGAATCTAAATATTATTTGTCAAAGGTAAATTAAAAAAAAAACACACGAATCAGTTTTACCAAATACAAAAAAAAAATTTCTTTATCGAATCCGAATTAAAAAAAAAAACAATGAAATCGATGATAATAAAACGTAATAATAATTTTAAAAAAATTTTTTTTATTTAATTTAAATTCAAAACCACCGCCATGACTTATTATTATTATTATTATCTTCCTTTCTTTTTTTTTTTGTACCACCATATTTATTATTCAAAAGGATACAAAAGAACGATTTATCTATTTCCGCATCTTTTATTAATAATTAATCCGACATATTAAATACGTTGAACTCTAATTAAAAAAAAGAAAAAAGTGAACGGATATATTTTTTACTTATTTAAATTAATTAATTAAATTTTCCTTTTTTTTGTGAAAAATTCTCTCGTGCGTGTGCGTGTGTGCGTGTAAAAGTCACGTTACATAAACACTTACAACCGATAACAACAACAACAAAACTCTGCGTGTGTGTGTGTGTGTGTTTGTTAAGTGTGAGATTATTTTCTTCCTTGAGAATTTAATTAATATTAATTAATAATTAAAATAAATAAAAAATAAAAAGGAGAGGCCGTGTTTAAAGGAGGAGTTTAAATTACGGATTAATTTAATCCGCGGATTAATTAAATAAAAATCACGGATTAATAAATATAAATCGCGTTTTAACTAAAGTAATAAATTCGTGCAAAATTTTTTATTTATTTTTTTAATTGACGTCACGCGGACATTTTTAATTTTTTTTTTTTTTTTGCATTTATCCGATTCCGCTCTTGAAATTTTTTCATTCATTAAAAATATTATTTTCGAACAAACGTGTTTGTTTACTTAAACAAACACGTTTCGAAAACATAAAATGTTTATTTTATTTATTATTATTATTATTATTATTATTATTATTATTATTTTATAATTAAAAAAAGTTGTTGCGAATCCTACGAGAATTTTTTTAATATAAAAATAGATTAAAATTTCGAATGCAATCGAAATATTAATATTATTATTATTATTATTATATTTTCCGCCGCCCCCCACGCAAACGGAAAGATTAGGAGGTGTAAAATAATAATAATAATAATAATAATATCGTGGTAAAAAAATTAAATTTTTTTTTTATTTATTAATTTTTCCTCTGTGTCAAGGCATTTTGTTTTTGTTTTTGTTTTGTTTTCAAACAAACAATGATGTTTGTGTTTGTTTGTTTGTGTGTGTGTGTGTGTGTGTGGGCAATTAGATTAACAACAAATCGTGTTCCTCCCATTTTTTTTTTTTTTTTTCGTTAAACGAAATTATGTTTCCGTTTAAGTTTTTTTAAAATAATTACGGTATTTTTTTTCATGTATTCGTCACCTTTAAAAAAAAATGGCGCGTAATTTAAAATAATAATAATAATAATAATAAATTTTGAATTATTATTAATAACGAAGTAATTTTTTTTTTTATTTTTCTATACTAGTTGTTTGTTTGTTTGTTTGTTTAAATTTCTAAAGAATTTGTAATTGAAAACTTATATTAAATTACTATACAAATATGAAATTAAATATTTTTTTTTTTTAACTTCGTGAGTAATGTGCGTTTACTACAATTACGCAATTGCGTGTGCCTTAATATAAAAATAATAAAATACACCTTAAAGAAGTAACAGACAGAGAAAATTTACATCCTGTCTATGTAATAAAAATAATTTTTTTTTTTTTTTTCTAAATGTTGGCACCGATTTTGATTTATTCCCGCTAAAATCACGTTCCGGGTTTATTTTCTCACAGTTTTTCTATATAAATCTACATAACATTAAACGTTACACATCCACTCACACTGAGGGGCGGGGGGCGGAGGTACTTGAGAGAAAAACTTTTCGCAAAAAAAAAATTTTCTAAGAAAATAAAATTTTACTACTCGTTACAAACACCAACAACGATGAAAATTTTTTTTTTTTTTTGTTTTAATTAAAACAACATTTCCGAGAAATAAAAATGAAAAACGTTTTAGATCATTCTAGAAACTTTACCCGGTTTTTTAAAACATTTTCCATCACGCAAAAACATTTATTATTATTATTTTGCATTTAAAAAAATTTATTCACACGAATTTTTTTTTTCTCTTTTTACCGTAATTATTTATTTAAATAAAAAAAAAAAATTAACTGTTATAACTTTCTTTTCATCTCCGTTATTATTATTATTATTATTATTAAACAATTTTATTTCTCTGTTGACGTGTAATTAGATAAGTATATTAGGACGATGTAAAAAAAAAAAAACGGATACGTATAAAAATTCATAATTCTGGAGAAGAAAAAGAAAACATATTGTTAATAATTTCTTTTTCTTTTTTTTTTGTTTTACACTCACATACACTCAAACCGGATAATGAAAAATTAATTTTTTTTTTAAATGACCTTGAAAAATAAAATAATAATAATAATAATTTTCCGACGGTAAAAGTGCAACGAACGTAATTAAATCAAAACAATACATTTATATATATAACTTTTACTTTTTTTTTTTTTTTTTTTTTACGCACCGAATAAATATTACGCATCCGACCTTATTGATTACGCACCCACGCACAAGCACTCACGCACGCATAATAAAATAAAAATTACGTAAACAATAATAATAATAATAATGAATATTTTTTTGGGGGTTTAATTTTTAATTTATTATTACACGCGAAAAGCGAAAAAATTGGAAATTTTATCATTATTATCATTATTATTATTTCGTTTATTTCCTCTCAAGTGTAATAAATTCAACCGGAAAATAATAAATTATTAATAAATTACGGTAATAATAATAATAATAATAATTTTTTTGCGGAAACGAATTAAATAAAATATAAAAAAAAATTAAAATTAATGTAATTCTATACATTATTTATTTATTTATTTATTTTTACGATAAATAATAATAATAATAATCTTTTTTTTTTACAATGAATTCTTTAGCTCAATATTTATATATATAATATGAATTAAAATATTATTATTATTATTATTATTAATAGTATTCTCTTATAATTACAATTAATTATTATTAATAGTTTTTTTAAATTCTTTATTATTATTATTATTATTATTATTATTATTACTATTTAATAAACAACAGCCAAACAAATGAAAATTAATAATAATAATTTTTTTTTAAATTATTAATTAATAAGAAAAAATTGTTTGTTATAAACAAAAAAAAAACAAATTCAAAAATTATTATTATTATTATTGTTATTATCATTAACAATATTTATTTAATAATAATAATTTTTTTTTTTTCATTTTTAAAAATAAAAATTAAAAATAAAAACTAAAAAAAAAAAATTTAAATTTCGTTTTAAAACAAACAAAAATAAAATAAAATGAAATAATAATAATAATAATATTAATGAAAATAATAATAATAATAATGATAATGATAATAATTAAAAAGAAAAAAAATTAAAACGAACGATTTTAAAATAGGGGGAAAAAAAAATTAATTAATTAATAAAAAATAAAATAAAAATTGTGATTAATTGATAGAGAGAGAGACAGATAGAGAAAGAGAAAGAGAGAGAGAAAGAGAGAGGAAAACAATTTTTGTCCAGGAAAAATCTTTTTTTCCAAAGACTCAGTCAAATTTCTGACCGATCAAATCAAATAATAATAAAAAATTCCAAAAAAAAATAAACAACCGACATTTTAAATCGTTTACATAAGCAACAAAATTATATATAAATATATATTTATACAAAAATAATAGTAATAATAATTAACAAACAAAAAAAAAATTAATAATAATAATAATAATAATAATAATGATAGTAATAATTTTTTTCATTATCATTATTTTCCGTCCAATTTTAAAGCCAATAAGTAATTAATTACTAATTTTTTTTCTTTTTTTTACTTATTAATATATCAATTAATAATAATATTTCTGTATTTAATATAAACAAAAACAATCAATCAATCACAAATAGAAACAATTTTTTTTTTCCTTTGTTTGTTTGTTTGTTGCTTGTTTGTTTTTTTTAAATAAAAAAGTTCAATATATATATATATATATATATATATATATATATATATATATATATATATATATATATATATATATATATATTTAATATAATGGCATTAAATGGCAATTATAAACATTTAGAGATGTGATAATAAATTCAAGGACGATTTTCAACTTCGTGTCTTACCGTTATGGTCACGTTACCATCTGGAAGCTGTTTCATTAATTTCCAGGCTTCGATTCTTGACATTATTGATACGTCCATGCCATTTATGTTAAGAAGTTCGTCGCCGGCTTTCAATTGTCCACATTTTTCGGCTGCTCCACCTGATAATAACCGGAAAATAAAACAAATACATGGAAATAAAATTTTTGTTTTTTTTTTTTTTTTGCGTTCTTCGTTATTATCATAATCGGCCATTAATTCTAAAATGCATTACCGGTAAATATTTTTTTAATAACGAGAGGTTTATCTCCCGTCGAACAATCTTTTCCTCCTTCCAAACTAAATCCCAAACCGGCGCCATCTTTGACAAGAGTCAAACTCACTGGAGGTCCTCTCGCCGTTTGGCAAAAAGATGATTCGTCTGAAATTTTTTTAATTTCGTCATTACTTTTATCACGATGATTAATAATAATGATGATAATAAAGTGTTTTTCACTTACCGGATTCTAATAAAGTTGATTTTTTCAACATTCTTCCCGCTCTGACCATCGAATGCTGTCGAATGCTGTTGTTGATTCCGTTCGAATCATCGGAATTTATACAATCGGTTAAAATGTCGGATTTAAGTCTCGACACGACTAAAACTACTTCCAATCTAGGAGACTAAATGGGGAAAAACATATATACGTTTAAATATACCGGAAATTACCGAAATAATAAAAGCGGAAATAGAATAAAAAATTATATAAAAAAAACCTTAAGAATGGCTAAAGATTCCCTATGGGTAACTCCTTTCATGCTTTTTCCATTAATTGATAATATTCTGTCTCCTTTTTGTATTCTTCCATCTCTATCAGCAGGACTACCTGCAAGTACTTTGTGAACCTGAAAACATAAATAATAATAATAATAATGTTTGTCATTTGAAACGACGTAACGAAAAAAAAAAAAAAAATTCTTACTGTTATTTCTTTTGATTCGTAATCGGCACCACCGGCCAAAGTGATACCGATGCTACCGCCGACAGTATCTCTGTGTAAAATAATAACGAGGACATCGTGATTATTCGTGTTTAAACCTCCTCCAACGTTTCCAGATTCTTCCAGTGTTTGATTTGCTTCTTCGAGAAGGAGTTGCAATTCCTTAAAAAAATAAAATTAAAGTTAGTGTTATTAATAATTAAAAACAAATTATCAACACGTTTTCATCTCTCTCTCACTCTCTCCTACCTGTGGTGATATCAAACTGGTAGACGAAGCCAAAGAAGTGATGCTTCCAAATTGTTCTCTGAAAAGATTCGTCGGACAACCGTATGGACCATCTTCGCTGGCTGTCGAATCCAACGACGAACCTCGAAAATGATTTCCGTTAATTCCGTTGTAATTATTGGTTGTTCCTGTCGTCACGCTCACACTTTTCATCAATCGAACCGGATTCGAAGGTAAAGTTTCGACTTTTTCAAAACTTTTACGAATGTCATTAATCGATCCGCGATTTCCATTCAATACCTTATCTGGTATCATTTGTTCATCTTTAGAATCAATCATTTTTTTATCAGTTTTATCGATGGATTCGATTGAAGAAGAAGAATCGGCAACGATGCCCGAATCGGTTGACATTTTACCAAATTTCATTATTAAATTTGAACGTTCGAAACCTTTCTCGTCTGGAGAATTTTTCGGAAGAGAATTGTCAGTAAGCAATTCATTTTTAGATGAAACATCACTTTGTTTTCCAGATGATGATTCCAATGTATTGCCGTTCGTTTCGTTCCAGTTCTTATTATTATTTTTATTCCAAGAACCGTAGCCGTGTGGCACGCTTGCTTTCCTCAAAGAAGAAGTTGAGCTTTTGTTCGGATCCGTTGTCGTCGCTGGTAAACTTTCGGATTTTTCTAATTTCTTTTTATTCTGATTGCTGTCGGAAAGAACGTCAGTTCCATCGTCTACAACATCAGTTATGTAAGCAACTTTTTCGATTTTTGGTTTCGTCAACGTGTTGTTGTCTTTATCGACGACAGTTAAACCATTTTCGGAATGTTTTTTCATCGGATTATGACTGTTTGTATAATTAAAATCGTTGTTTTTGTTCAAACCGTTTTCAACAACTTCTAAAAATTTTCTTTGTATTAAAGGAGAACCCGATTTGACGTCGAATCCCCGACTGTATTTGGCCGAAGCTAAAACGTTTTTCCTATTTATTGCTTCGACGCTTTGGGGTTTCAATATTCTTTTGTTATTTGCGTCGTTGAGGTTTCCTTCGTTTGTGCACATGTTCATTTGTTGCGTTTCAGAGGGTGGATTTGATGAATTCGATGAAATGCTCATCGAAGATCTCATATCCGATGATGGAGTTCTACTGTACTGATTTCTTTCGGGAGAGAACAGCAAACGGGATCTTAAACCGGGATCGTCAACGGTTTGATGTTGATTATCAAGTAGTGGAGAAGCTGGAGGTGAAAATCCATGTGATATGCTAGACCTGCTAGAACTCACAGCCGAATCATTATCACTATCTTCTTCAGATCTTCCTAAATCAGAGTGTAAGCGATATTTTCCGTGTGAAAGTGACTTACGTTTAGGAACATACATATCGTAAGATTTTGTAATTTCCCCTATTTTATGGTTTCTGGGTAATGTGTACTGATGCTCAGGTTCACACAAAAACGAACCGACAGCGTCATCGTATTTACGATCGTCGCAAACGGAATTTTGCCGAACGAGAGGCACATTTCTCGGGGGTTTCAAAGGTGCTCTTATGGGTTCCCCCATGGATCTTTGCAGCGGAGTTATCGTCGATTCTTTTTTATCATTTAAAGCCATTAGTTCTTTTGCACCAAACACGGCTATGCTTTTTCTTTTAAAAGCCGGAGAATATTTTGGAATATTTGGAACTTTACTTTGCATATCCCAAAGATGCGTAGGCGATACTTTAGGAACGACAACCTCAGGAAGGGTGGCTCTGGGTTGTTTGGTTAGATTTTTTTCTTTGTATGCACTCGGAACTTTTGAACTTAATATCAGATCTCGGCTTCTTATTTCGGGAAGATCAACTATAGGCAAACCGGGCACAGAATTTGTCGATTTTTCTGGAATCACGAGACCCCTTAACTTGGAAAGGTTTTTCCGCCTCTGTTCAATCAAAAGATTTAACGATCCGGGCTTCTGTCCATCATCTTGAAGTGATTCTGATAAATATCGAGATTTATACGGAGTTGGATTAATGTCTAAAAGACTTTGCGATCTTCCGTGCACGCTGAAACTGGTGGTTCGCTGAATACCAACGTTATCTTTTTTACCTAAATTATTTTTAGATTCTTCATTTCGCGTTTTCTTTCTAGGTAAAGTACTCGAATAGCCTAAATAAGAAGAATTAGAAGAGAGAGAAGAATCGGGGGAACAGGAACTAGAATAAGCAGAAGATGAAGAACTTAAATCCATGGAACTTTGAGTACGATTGGAATAATCCAAAGGTCTCGTCGTCGGTATGGGCGTATCACTTCCATAAGGAGGTTTTTTCATGTAGTTTCCTCCTCCGCTAACTTTATCCAGAGTCATGACGGATCTCGAAAACATTTTACCATTTGGAAAATTCCTATTGCAATCGGTTTCGTCGCAGTAAAAAACATCCTCCGAGCTTTTATATTTATTTAATTTGCCATTGGAGGGATTTGGAGGAGCCGAATCCGGTACGGATGAAAACATGGCAATTTTATCGCGAACACTTTTTTCACTTTTTTCATCTTGCCTCCAGAAACTATTACGCGAAGATTTGATTTGAACGGGCAATTCCGTCGGGACGCCCGGTACGAAAAATTTCTTTTCCGTAAATATTTCAACGTCTCCATTGTATATGGGGGGATATTTGAAAGGAGCGGAAGGTGGTTCTGATGCCGGAAGCGGTGGAAGTACCGCCGAATCCGCCAGTACGGATTCCGATTGTTGTCGCTCCTCTGAACCTTTGACCGTCGTCGTCATAGACGGTGATTTTTCCAACGGTGGTTCTTCCGTATATTTTTGCGGGAATTCATGTCCGTCCGGAGGCATTCGACTAATGCTTGAAGTCGGTGAAACAAGGCCAATTGTTGTTGAGACAACGGGAACCATTGCTTCTTTTACTTCACCTACAAACAAACAAAAAAAATCAATCATTATCATCGTTACGAAACCTTTTCGTAATACGCAACCATCTTTTTTTTCACGTTTCCCAAAAAATTGATGCAGGTATCGAAAGGTCTCGAATCATACATGTGGGTTTAATCATAATAAATTATCACATTTATTTTGCATCATCATTTCAAAAACCGACGTTGCATTTATATTTATTTATTTTTTAATGTAAAAAACGCAAAAATTCCAAAACTCTCTCCCTTACCACCTCTCCACCCTCCCCAATTAAAAAAATAATCTTAAAACGTCACAAACGATACATTTTGGTGTCATTTTTTGCGTGTTTCTTGTTTTTTCACCGGGTAAAACATAATAAACGTGAAGTATAATAATAATAATAATAAATTATGCTTTTATACAAATCACGATTTTATAAAAAAAATTCCTTTCTTTTTTTTTTTGTTTAAACAATTTTAAACTATTTTTTTTTTTTTAAATTTATTTATTTCGATTAATTTTTTTTTTTATTCAAAAAAAATGAAAGAGGGGGGAAATTTTTTTTGGATAATTACAATAATTTATTTTCATTTTAAAAAAATTATAAATTAGTTTTTTTTTTCATTTAACACTTTATTTTAATTTTTTATTCACGGTAATTTAAATTTTTTTTTTTTTTTTTACTTAAATCGTGAACTTTTGCAAAAAAAAAAAAACGAACGATTTTAATATTTAAATATATTTTTTTTTCGAATCAGTGCCGAAACTACGCTCATTAAATGAAATTACGGTTTTTTTTCCTTTTTCCTGTTTTAAAAAAAATGTAAATTTAATTCGAATTCCGCTCGAGTAAGCCAAAAATTATAGAGAATTTATTGAACTCGATTTTTTTTATTTATTTTAATATAATTAATAAATATATTCATCGAATCTACTATTATAAATATTTATTTATTTAAAAAAAAACACTGATCGGAATAAAATAAAAATGAATTCGCTATAAAATGCCGTTCAAATACTATTTCGTTGACCGAGTTTCAAAACATTTTAATTTTTTTTATTTTAAAAAACTCACCATTTGAACCGTTCAAATCAACGACGTTTTTGTAAACTTCCAACGAGTCATCATTATCATCAAGTTTCACCAAAACGTGATTATTGCATAACCCGTTTGTTGATTTCGGACCACTTGTTTCGGATTCATCTGAAATATAATTTTTTTATATATAAAATATATTATTATTATTATTATTATTATTAAAATGACGATTCGTTTAACATTCGTCACGGAAAATAATTTCAAGAGTTAAACAACCCCGATGATAATGATAACAAACAAAAACAAAAACAAAATTAAAATATGTAAATTAAAATTAATTATTTAAAAAAAAAAGAAAATTTCTTTCTTTTTTTCCTTTTCTTTGTCGATTGTTGGAATCCGATGACAGGAATGATGGCGATGATGATGATGATGATGATGATGGGTCAAGGCTCAGGAAAAAGAAAAAAAAAAACAACAAAAGGAAAAATTTTCTTTTTTTTTTTTTGCGAGATCCCCACGCGTTTAATTAAAAAAAAAAATAAAAATCTTTTTCCCAGTTATAATTTTGCTTGTTTGTTTGTTCGTTTGTTATCGTTATCAATCGCGTGTAATTATCCGGACAAGGTTTTTAAAACAATTTAAAAAATATTTTTCAGTTTACGTAATCGTCGGGAGGGGGGGCGCGGAAAATTTATTTCCCAAACTCGTTGATTTTTCAATAAACGCGTCGTCGACAACCACAACCGAATCAAAAAAAATTTTTACTTATTGAAAGGCAACAAACAAACAAAAAATTTGGCGGTCCTTTAAATTTTTTTCTGCATAAAAATAATAGAAAGAAAAATTCTCCAGATAAAACTCCAGAATAAACAACAACAACAACAACAACAACATGATGATTGTAGTGGGTGGTTGGATACTAAAAATTATTTTTAAAATTTGACCTTTAAAAAAATTTTTTTTTTTAGGTTTATCTGCGTGGGTTCGCGCACATTAAAAAAAAAAATTTTTTTTCTGTAATTATTTATTAATGATTGCAATGACTAATCTTATTTTTATCTCCCTCTCTCTCTCTCTCTCTCTCTCACTCTTCCTTTTCCCTCCTTTCTTCAGCCTCCCAAAAAAATAAAAAAACAAAAATAAAAAGGAAAATTTCAAAATTTAAATTAATTCTTTCGCATATTTCATCAGGACAGAAACAACAGTAACTATTATTATTATTATTATTATCATCATCATCATCATCATTTGCGAAATCCAATCAAAAATTTCTACTGCTATCACGTGGGTAAAACTGTGGGATGTTAACAAATCGTTTCGTGATAACGTTTTAATTTTTTTAAAAATTTTATTATTCCCTGTCCCGGATTTTTCAATGCGGGTTTGAAAATCCCCCCCCAAAAAAAAAAAAAATTACTGGAAAACCGGAAATAGGAAATAATTGTGTGTGTGCGTGTGCGCGCGTTTTTAAAGAGTTTAAATTGCGTAAAATTTTAACGCGCCTAAAAAAATAAACGACACATTCAATAAATTACATTATTAATTTCTATTACATATTTTCCGTCTGTTTTTTAAACCTTAAAAAAAAAAATGGCCGTAATGTTCTTCCAATTATTATCATTATCATTATTATTATTAATATTTTTTTTTTTTTTCAAAACGAAAGAAAATATTATTTAAAATAAATGTCGTGATTTTATTTTTTTATTTTTTTTTTTTGGAAAAGAAGTTCAAGAACCGGAGGCTGTGAGGTCAAGATGATATGAATTTAAATCTCTCTTTCTATCACTTATTCCCCCCCCCCCATTCTCTCTTTCTCTCTCTCGCTCTCATTCGTTTCTATAATACAGGTTTTCTTTTCTTTTCTTTTCTTTTCTCTTTTTTTTTTTTTTTGATCTTTCGCATTTGGATTCTGCTTTTTTTTTTCATCCATCCATTTCCTCAAATTCTTAACGTAAACAAGAATTTCAATTCTTTTCTATCAATTTTAAATGACCTCAATGTTATCGATGTTTACGTTATCGTCGCCGCTACCGCCTCCACCGCCACCCCCGCCACCACCACCACCGCCGCATTTTGCAAATTTTTTGCAATTCGCCATACTTTCTAATTTTCTCTTATTCTCTCTCTTTCTCTCTCTCTCTCACTCTCACACAAACGGAATTCATCGAATTTTTTTTTTTTTTTAAGAATTAATATTAAATTGGCAAAATCAAGAAAAGTATTTCTTCGCGTTCTCCTTTTTCCTCTTTTCCCTTAATTTTTTTTTTTTTGGCAAAACTAGTTTTTTTTTTTTTTTTTATAAAACCGAAACATTCGCGTACCGACAACCTACTAAAAATAAAACTTATCATTATTATTTTTTTATCGGCCCAATTTTAAGTGGGGGAGGAGGAAAGGGAAGGAAGGGGAAGAAGGAGGAGGGAGAAACGTAAAATTTGGCATCGAAAATTCACTCTCGCACATATTTATTTATTTATTTATTTTAAAATTTGTTGGGGCGTTGCACGAGGGGAACGGCGTTCAAGGTTTTAAGGTGAAAAAACCTATCACCCGATATATAAATGCAATACGATAATAATAATAATAATAATGATAATGATAATAAATGACAAAAAGAAAAAAAAATAAATAAATAATTCAAGGGTACGTAAAATAAATAAATAAATAAATAAAAAGAGACAGATTCCATTATTATAATATATTTAAATAAGTGGAAAAAGCAAAAAAAAAAAAAATCACGTGGGCAGCCGCCATCTTTTTAACAAAAAGGAAAAATTTTTAATTCAACCGTTTTTTTTTTTTTTGTTAAATACACGATAAAAATTCAGATCGTGATTTATTCTTAGCTAAAAAAAAAAAAAAAACATGAAAAAATATTATATACATTTAAATAATGTAAAAATAAAAGTAAATGGTTGTAAGATAATAATAATAATAATAATAATAATAATAATAATAATAATACGATTATCACGAAAAATAATGAAGAGAAGAAGAAAAAAAAAAAAATTTATATATATATGCGTATGTATGTATGCGATCACGAGAAAAAGATTTATCTTCTTCCCTTCTTCTTCCACTTCTTCCACTTCTTATTCTTCTTCTTCCACTTTTATGCGTACACGAAAAAAAAACAAAAAAAAAAATTAAGAAAAGCAATTTTTTTTTAAACTTGAGTGACAGAATCGGTTTTTTTTTTAATGCGACGATTTAAACTCGTATTTAGACCAAGAGAGAGAGAGAGAGAGAGAGAGAAATTCTTGATATCATTTAGAGTAATAAAAAAATCACGATTGAGTGAGAGAGAGAGAGAGAGAAATTCTTGATATCATTTAGAGTAATAAAAAAATCACGATTGAGTGAGAGAGAGAGAGAGAGAGAGAGATGATGTCCCATTAGAGAAAATGCTGGTGCGTAAAACTTTCGATAAAACGAAGAAAAACGAGGGGGGAAAAAAAGAGAAGGTGGTGATGGTGGTAAGGGTGGGAGAGGTAAAAAATTACCCGCCAAAATAATTTAAATAATAATAATAATTTCGAAAAAAATGTCTTCGCAAATATGACTGATTTGAAATTCGTGATTATACTTTTTTTTTTTTGTTAAAGTGTTGGAAAAACAAAAAATTTTCAGATAATTTATTTATTTTTTTTGACCGATAATCATTTTTTTTTTTTTACACGAATCGTCGAGTCATATATATATATTTAATAATAATAATAATAATAATTTAACATAAAAATTTAAATTTTTTATTTTTAATATTTCGCGGCGTGTGAATTATGAAAAAAAATGATGATGATGATAAAAGGGAGCCGATTCGTTACGAACGCGAATTATTTTAATTATTAAAAGAAAAAATAAAATTATCATTATTATTATGATTTGATTTTATTACTTTTTTTTTTTAAAAATATTTGTTCGTAAAAACAATTCATTTTCCCGTTTTCTATTTATT